GTTGGTGGTGCTGCTGCTGTTGCCGCTTTTGCTGCTGTTGCTGCTGTTCCTCCATTTGTTGGCGGCGATACTGCTGATGCTGTTGCGGCTGATGTTGTTGGTGGAGTGGTACTGTTGCTGCTGTTGCCGCTGTTGCTGCTGTTGCTGCTACTGATGTTGGTGGTGGTGGCGCTGCTGCTTTTGCCGCTGTTGCTGCTGTCACAGTGGTGGTGGAGATGCTGCTGTTGCTGCTGCAGCTGCTGATGTTTGTGTTGGTGGTGCTGCTGCTGTTGCTGCTGTCGCTGCTGTTGGTGGTGGTGATGCTGCTGTGGCTAGCTGCTGCTGATGTTGGTGGTGATGCTGCTGCTCTTGCTGTTGCCGCTGTTGCTGCTGTTCGTGCTATTGGTGGTGGCGATGCTGTTGCTGCTTGGTCTGCTGATGTTGGTGGTAGTCTGGTAGTGCTGCTGCTGTTGCCGCCGTTGCTGGTGTTCCTGCTGTTGGTGGTGGTGATGCTGCTGTTCCTGCTGGTGCTGATGTTGGTGGTGGTGGTGGTGGTGGTGGTGTTGCTGCTGCTGTTGCTGCTGTTCCTGCTGTTGGTGGTGATGCAGCTATTGCTGTTCTTGTTGGTGGTGGTGTCGGTGGTGTTGCTGCTGTTGATTTAGTTTCTGCTGTTGGTGGTGGTGATCCTCATGTTGCTGATTTTGGTGGTTATGGTGATGCTGCTGCTGTTGCCGCTGTTGCTGCTTTTATTGCTGTTCCTGATGTTGGTGGTGGTGATGCTGCTATTGGTGTTGGTGATGGTGCTGGTGCTGTTGCCGCTGTTGCTGCTGTTCCTGCTGTTGCTGCTGCTGCTACTGCTGATATTGGTGGTGGTGGTGCTGCTGCTTTTGCCGCTGCTGCTGCTGTTGGTGTTGGTGATGCTGCTGTTGCTGCTGTTGCTGCTGATGTGGGTGGTGGATGTGCTGTTGCTGCTGTTGCCGCTGTTCCTGCTGTTGCTGCTGTTGCTGCTGTTGGTGGTGGTGATGCTGCTGTTGCTGCTGCAGGTGCTGTTGCTGTTGCCGCTGTTGCTGCTTTTCTGCTGTTGCTGTTGGTGGTAGTGATACAGCTATTGCTGTTGTTGTTGGTGGTGGTGGTGCTGCTGCTTTTGCTTCAGTTTCTGCTGTTGGTGGTGGTGATCCTGGTGTTGCTGATTTTGGTGGTTATGGTGATGCTGCTGCTGGTGCTGCTTTTATTGCTGTTCCTGCTGCTGCTGTTGCTGCTGTTGGTGTTGGTGATGCTGCTGTTGCTGCTGTTGCTGCTGATGTTGGTGGTGGATGTGCTGCTGGTGTTGTCACTGTTCCTGCTGTTGCTGATGCTGTTCCTGTTGTTGGTGAGTGGTGATGCTGCTGTTGCTGTTGCAGCTGCTGTTGCTGTTGCCGCTGTTGCTGCTTTTGCTGCTGTTGGTGGTATTGATACAGCTATTGCTGCTGATGTTGGTGGTGGTGCTGCTGCTGCTTTTGCCGCTGTTGCTGCTGTTGGTGTTGGTGACGCTGCTGTTGCTGCTGTTGCTACTGATGTTGGTGGTGGATGTGCTGCTGCAGTTGCTGTTGCCGCTGTTCCTGTTGTTGGTGGTGGTGATGCTGCTGTTCCTGCTGCTGATGTTAGTGGCGGTGGTGCTATTGCTGCTGTTGCCGCTGTTGCTGCTCTTGGTAGTGGTGATGCTGCTGTTGCTGACGCTGCTAATGCTTATGTTGGTGGCGGTGGTCCTGCTGCTGTTGCCGCTGTTGCTGCTTTTGGTGGTGGTGAGGCAGCTATTGCTGTTGTTGTTGGTGGTGGTGGTGGTGCTGCTGCTGCTGCTGTTGCTTTAGTTTACGCTGTTGCTGCTGTTGCTGCTGTTGGTGGTGGTGATGCTGCTGTTGCCGCTCCTGCAGATATTGGTGGTGCTGGTGGTGGTGGTGATGGTTTTGCCGCTGTTGCTGCTGTTGGTGGTGGAGATGCTCCTGTTGCTGCTGCTGCTGCTGCTGATGTTGGTGTTGGTGGTGCTGCTGCCGCTGTTGCTGCTGTTCCTGCTGTTACTGCTGTTGCTGCTGTTGGTGGTGGTGCTGCTGTTGCCGCTGTTGCTGCCGTTGCTGCTGTTGCTGCTGTTGGTGGTGGTGATGCTGCTCTTGCTGCTACTGCTCATGTTGGTGGTGGTCGTGGTGCCGCTGCTGGTGCCGCTACTGATGTTGGTGGTGGTGGTGATGCTGCTTTTGCCGCTGTTGCTGCTGTTGGTGGTGGAAATGCTGCTGTTGCTGCTGCTGCTGCTGCTGCTGATGTTGGTGTTGGTGGTGCTGCTGCTGTTGCCGCTGTTGCTGCTTTTCCTGCTTATCCTGCTGTTCCTGCTATTGGTGGTGACTGCTGTTGCTGCTTGGTCTGCTGATGTTGGTGGTAGCCTGGCGGTCCTGCTGCTGTTGCCGCTGTTGTTTCTGTTCCTGCTGTTGGTGGTGCTGTTGCTGCTGTTGCTGCTGTTGCTGCTGTTGCTGCTGTTGATGCTACTGATGTTGGTGGTGGTGCTGCTGCTGCTTTCGCTGCTGTTCCTGCTAATGATGGTGGTGATGCTGCTGTTGCTGCTGCTGCTACTGCTGATGTTGGTGGTGGTGGTGCTGCTGCTGTTGCCGCTTTTGCTGCTGTTGCTGCTGTTCCTCCATTTGGTGGTGACGATACTGCTGTTGCTGTTGCGGCTGATGTTGGTGGTGGTGGTGGTGGTGGTGCTGCTACTGTTGCTGCTGTCGGTGGTGGTGGTGCTGCTGCTGTTGCCGCAGTTGCTGCTGTTCCTGCTGTTAGTGGTGGTGATGCTGCTGTTGCTGGTGCTGCTGATGTCGGTGGTGTTGGTGCTGCTGCTGCTGTTGATGATGTTCCTGCTGTTGTTGGTGGTGATGCTGCTATTGCTTCTGGTATTGTCGGTGGTGGTGGTGCTGCTGCTGCTGCTGTTGCTGCAGTTCCTGCTGTTCCTGCTGTTGGTGGTGGTGATGCTGTTATTGCTGCTGCTGCTGCTGATATTGGTGGTGGTGGTGGTTGTGCTATTTCTGCTGTTGCTGCTGTTGCTGCTGTTCCTGCTGTTGCTGCTCCTGCTGATCTTGGTGGTGGTGCTGCTGCTGCTTTTGCCGCTGTTGCTGCTGTTGGTGTTGGTGACGGTGCTGTTGCTGCTGATGTGGGTGGTGGATGTGCTGCTGCAGTTGCTGTTGCTGCAGTTCCTGCTGTTCCTGCTGTTGTTGGTGGTGATGCTGCTGTTCCTGCTGCTGCTGATGTTGGTTGCGGTGGTGCCATTGCTGCTGTTGCCGCTGTTGCTGCTCTTGGTAGTGGTGATGCTGCTGCTGTTGCTGCTGCTGCTGCTGATGTTAGTGGTGGTGTTGCTGCTTTTCCTGCTGTTGGTGGTGGTGGTGATGCTGCTGTTGGTGCTGCTGTTGCTGCTAATGCTGCTGACACTGTTGATGCTGCTGCTGCTCTTGGTACCCCTGCTGCGGCTGCTGCTGCTCCTGCTGCTGCTGCTGCTGTAGCTACTGTTCCTGCTGGTCTTGCTGTTGTTGGTAGTGATGCTGGTGTTGCTGCTGCTGCTGATGTTGGCGGTGGTGGTGGTGCTGCTGCTGTTGCCGCTATTCCTGCTGCTGGTAGTGGTGATGCTGCTGTTGCTGTTGTTGGTAGTGGTGATGCTGCTGTTGCTGCTGCTGCTGATGTTGTTGGTGGTGGTGGTGATGCTTGCTGCTTCTGCCGCTGTTGCTGCTGTTGCTGTTGATGCTGCTGTTGTTGCTGTTCCTGCTGTTGGTGGTGGTGATGTTGCTGTTCCCGCTATTCCTGCTGTTGTTGGTGTTCCTGGTGTTGGTGGTGGTGATGCTGCCATTGCTGCTGCTTATGATATTGGTGGTGCTGTTGCTGCTGCTGCTGCTGCTGCTGCTGATATTGGTGGTGGTGGTGGTGCTGCTCTTGCTGCTACTGCTCATGTTGGTGGTGGTCGTGGTGCCGCTGCTGGTGCCGCTACTGATGTTGGTGGTGGTGGTGATGCTGCTTTTGCCGCTGTTGCTGCTGTTGGTGGTGGAAATGCTGCTGTTGCTGCTGCTGCTGCTGCTGCTGCTGATGTTGGTGTTGGTGGTGCTGCTGCTGTTGCCGCTGTTGCTGCTTTTCCTGCTTTTCCTGCTGTTCCTGCTATTGGTGGTGACTGCTGTTGCTGCTTGGTCTGCTGATGTTGGTGGTAGCCTGGCGGTCCTGCTGCTGTTGCCGCTGTTGTTTCTGTTCCTGCTGTTGGTGGTGCTGTTGCTGCTGTTGCTGCTGTTGCTGCTGTTGCTGCTGTTGCTGCTGTTGATGCTACTGATGTTGGTGGTGGTGCTGCTGCAGTTGCTGTTGCTGCAGTTCCTGCTGTTCCTGCTGTTGGTGGTGGTGATGCTGCTGTTCCTGCTGCTGCTGATGTTGGTTGCGGTGGTGCCATTGCTGCTGTTGCCGCTGTTGCTGCTCTTGGTAGTGGTGATGCTGCTGCTGTTGCTGCTGCTGCTGCTGATGTTAGTGGTGGTGTTGCTGCTTTTCCTGCTGTTGGTGGTGGTGGTGGTGATGCTGCTGTTGGTGCTGCTGTTGCTGCTAATGCTGCTGACACTGTTGATGCTGCTGCTGCTCTTGGTACCCCTGCTGCGGCTGCTGCTGCTCCTGCTGCTGCTGCTGCTGTTGCTACTGTTCCTGCTGGTCTTGCTGTTGTTGGTGGTGATGCTGGTGTTGCTGCTGCTGCTGATGTTGGCGGTGGTGGTGGTGCTGCTGCTGTTGCCGCTATTCCTGCTGCTGGTAGTGGTGATGCTGCTGTTGCTGTTGTTGGTAGTGGTGATGCTGCTGTTGCTGCTGCTGCTGATGTTGTTGGTGGTGGTGGTGATGCTTGCTGCTTCTGCCGCTGTTGCTGCTGTTGCTGTTGATGCTGCTGTTGTTGCTGTTCCTGCTGTTGGTGGTGGTGATGCTGCTGTTCCCGCTATTCCTGCTGTTGTTGCTGTTCCTGGTGTTGGTGGTGGTGATGCTGCCATTGCTGCTGCTTATGATATTGGTGGTGCTGTTGCTGCTGCTGCTGCTGCTGATATTGGTGGTGGTGGTGGTGCTGCTGCTGCTGCTGTTGCCGCTGTTGCTGTTGTTCCTGCTTTTCCTGCTGTTGAAGCTGCTACTAATGTTTGTGGTGGTGCTGCTGCTCTTTGCGCTGTTCCTGTTGTTGGTGGTGGTGATGCTGCTGTTGCTGTTGCTGCTGTTGCTGCTGGTCCTGCTGGTCCTGCTTTTGGTGGTGGTGTCGCTGCTGTTGCCGCTGTTGCTGCTGATGGTGGTGGTGATGCTGCTGTTGCTGCTCCTGTTGGTGGTGCTTCTGTTGCTTCTGTTGTTCTCGGAGGTGTTGCGTTTCTGCTGTTGCTGGTGGTGGTGGCGATGGTAGTGTCGGAGGTTTCTTCTGCCGCTGTTGTTTCTGTTGCTTTTGTTGCTGCTAGTGCTGCCTTTGCTGCTGTTTCCTATTTTGCTGCTTTTGCTGCTGACAATGCTGTTGATTTTGTTGCTGTTGCTGCTGACAATGCTGTTGATTTCGTTGCTGTTGTTGGCGGTGGTAGTGCCGCTGTTGCTGATGTTGCTGGTGTTGTTGGCGGTGGTGTTGCTGGTTGAGATGGTGTTTGCGCTGCTGTTTGCGCTGCTGTTGCTGCTACTGCTGCTGAACCTGCTGATGCTGCTGGTTAGGCTGGAGGTGTAGTTGCTGCTGCTGGTGCTCCTGCTCCTGTTGTTGCTGCATTTACTGCGGTTGCTGCTGTCAGTGGGGGTACTTTTGCTGCTTTTGTTGTTGCCGCTGTTGATGCTGCTACTGGTGTTGTTGCTGATGTTGCTGCTGTTGGTTCTGTTGGTGGTGGTGGTGGCGGTGGTGGTGGTGGTGGTGGTGGTGGTGGTGGTGGTGGTGGTGGTGGTGGTGGTGGTGGTGGTGCAACTGCTGCTGCTGCTGGTGGTGTTGGTTCTATTTCTGCTGTTGTTGTTGTTGCTGCCTGATGGTGCTGATGCTGTTGTTGGTGTTGCTTCTGTCGCTGCTGTTGTTGCTTTTGCTGCTGTTGCTGCTGTTGGTGGTGGTGGTGCTGCTGTTGCTGCTGTTGCTGCTGTTGGTGGTGGTGCTGCTGCTGTTGCTGCTGTTGCTGCTGTTGGTGGTGATGGTGCTGCTGTTGCTGCTGTTGCTGCTGTTGGTGGTGGTGTTGCTGCTGTTGCTGCTGTTGGTGGTGGTGGTGCTGCTGTTGCTGCTGTTGGTGGTGGTGGTGCTGCTGTTGCTGCTGTTGGTGGTGGTGGTGCTGCTGTTGCTGCTGTTGGTGGTGGTGGTGCTGCTGTTGCTGCTGTTGGTGGTGGTGGTGCTGCTGTTGCTGCTGTTGGTGGTGGTGGTGCTGCTGTTGCTGCTGTTGGTGGTGGTGGTGCTGCTGTTGCTGCTGTTGGTGGTGGTGGTGCTGCTGTTGCTGCTGTTGCTGCTGTTGGTGGTGGTGGCGCTGCTGTTGCTGCTGTTGGTGGTGGTGGTGCTGCTGTTGCTGCTGTTGGTGGTGATGGTGCTGCTGTTGCTGCTGTTGCTGCTGTTGGTGGTGGTGCTGCTGCTGTTGCTGCTGTTGCTGCTGTTGGTGGTGGTGGTGCTGCTGTTGCTGCTGTTGGTGGTGGTGGTGCTGCTGTTGCTGCTGTTGGTGGTGGTGGTGCTGCTGTTGCTGCTGTTGGTGGTGGTGGTGCTGCTGTTGCTGCTGTTGGTGGTGGTGGTGCTGCTGTTGCTGCTGTTGGTGGTGGTGGTGCTGCTGTTGCTGCTGTTGGTGCTGCTGTTGCTGCTGTAGGTGGTGGTGGTGCTGCTGTTGCTGCTGTTGGTGGTGGTGGTGCTGCTGTTGCTGCTGTTGGTGGTGGTGGTGCTGCTGTTGCTGCTGTTGGTGGTGGTGGTGGTGCTGCTGTTGCTGCTGTTGGTGGTGGTGGTGCTGCTGTTGCTGCTGTTGGTGGTGGTGGTGCTGCTGTTGCTGCTGTTGGTGGTGGTGGTGCTGCTGTTGCTGCTGTTGGTGGTGGTGGTGCTGCTGTTGCTGCTGTTGGTGGTGGTGGTGCTGCTGTTGCTGCTGTTGGTGGTGGTGGTGCTGCTGTTGCTGCTGTTGGTGGTGGTGGTGCTGCTGTTGCTGCTGTTGCTGCTGTTGGTGGTGGTGGTGCTGCTGTTGCTGCTGTTGGTGGTGGTGGTGCTGCTGTTGCTGCTGTTGGTGGTGATGGTGCTGCTGTTGCTGCTGTTGGTGGTGGTGCTGCTGCTGTTGCTGCTGTTGCTGCTGTTGGTGGTGGTGGTGCTGCTGTTGCTGCTGTTGGTGGTGGTGGTGCTGCTGTTGCTGCTGTTGGTGGTGGTGGTGCTGCTGTTGCTGCTGTTGGTGGTGGTGGTGCTGCTGTTGCTGCTGTTGGTGGTGGTGGTGCTGCTGTTGCTGCTGTTGGTGGTGGTGGTGCTGCTGTTGCTGCTGTTGGTGGTGGTGGTGCTGCTGTTGCTGCTGTTGGTGGTGGTGGTGCTGCTGTTGCTGCTGTTGCTGCTGTTGGTGGTGGTGGCGCTGCTGTTGCTGCTGTTGGTGGTGGTGGTGCTGCTGTTGCTGCTGTTGGTGGTGATGGTGCTGCTGTTGCTGCTGTTGCTGCTGTTGGTGGTGGTGCTGCTGCTGTTGCTGCTGTTGCTGCTGTTGGTGGTGGTGGTGCTGCTGTTGCTGCTGTTGGTGGTGGAGGTGCTGCTGTTGCTGCTGTTGGTGGTGGTGGTGCTGCTGTTGCTGCTGTTGGTGGTGGTGGTGCTGCTGTTGCTGCTGTTGGTGGTGGTGGTGCTGCTGTTGCTGCTGTTGGTGGTGGTGGTGCTGCTGTTGCTGCTGTTGGTGGTGGTGGTGCTGCTGTTGCTGCTGTTGCTGCTGTTGGTGGTGGTGCTGCTGTTGTTGGTGCTGTAGTTGTTGTTGCTGGTGCTGGCACTTCTGGTGCAGCTGGTGCTCTTGGTGCTGGTGCTCCTGACACTGCTGCTGCCGATGCTGGTGCTAATGCCGCTATGCTGGTGTTTCTTGCCGCTGCTGTTGGTGGTGGTTTTGTTGTTGGTGGTGGTGTTGCTTCTGCTTTTGTTTCTGTTGCTGTTGTTGGATCTGTTGCTCCTGTCGCTGTTGTCGCTTTTGCTGCTGTTGCTGCTGTTGGTGGTGATGGTGCTGGTGTTCCTGGTGCTACTGCTGATTCTGCTGCTGTTGCTGCTGTTGCTGCTGTTGCTGCTATTGGTGGTGGTGATGCTGCTGTTGCTGCTACTGCTCATGTTGGTGGTGGTAGTGGTGCTGCTGCTGTTGCTGCTGTTGCTGCTGTTGCCGCTGTTGCTGCTGTTGCTGCTACTGATGTTAGTGGTGGTGGTGCTGCTGCTTTTGCCGCTGTTGCTGCTGTTGGTGGTGGAGATGCTGCTGCTGCTGATATTTGCGTTGTATGTGCTGCTGCTGTTGCCGCTGTTGCTGATGTTGCTGCTATTGGTGGTGGCGATGCTGTTGCTGCTGCTGCTGATGATGTTGGTGGTAGGCTGGTGGTGCTGCTGCTGTTCCAGCTGTTGCTGCTGTTCCTGCTGTTGGTGGTGGTGATGTTGGTGGTGGTGCTGCTGCTGCTTTTGCTGATGTTTCTGCTGTTGGTGATGGTGATGCTGCTGTTCCTGCAGTTGCTGCTACTGCTGATGTTGGTGGTGCTGCTGCTGTTGCCGCTTTTGCTGCTGTTGCTGCTGTTCCTCCATTTGTTGGCGGCGATACTGCTGATGCTGTTGCGGCTGATGTTGTTGGTGGAGTGGTACTGTTGCTGCTGTTGCCGCTGTTGCTGCTGTTGCTGCTACTGATGTTGGTGGTGGTGGCGCTGCTGCTTTTGCCGCTGTTGCTGCTGTCACAGTGGTGGTGGAGATGCTGCTGTTGCTGCTGCAGCTGCTGATGTTTGTGTTGGTGGTGCTGCTGCTGTTGCTGCTGTCGCTGCTGTTGGTGGTGGTGATGCTGCTGTGGCTAGCTGCTGCTGATGTTGGTGGTGATGCTGCTGCTCTTGCTGTTGCCGCTGTTGCTGCTGTTCGTGCTATTGGTGGTGGCGATGCTGTTGCTGCTTGGTCTGCTGATGTTGGTGGTAGTCTGGTAGTGCTGCTGCTGTTGCCGCCGTTGCTGGTGTTCCTGCTGTTGGTGGTGGTGATGCTGCTGTTCCTGCTGGTGCTGATGTTGGTGGTGGTGGTGGTGGTGGTGTTGCTGCTGCTGTTGCTGCTGTTCCTGCTGTTGGTGGTGATGCAGCTATTGCTGTTCTTGTTGGTGGTGGTGTCGGTGGTGTTGCTGCTGTTGATTTAGTTTCTGCTGTTGGTGGTGGTGATCCTCATGTTGCTGATTTTGGTGGTTATGGTGATGCTGCTGCTGTTGCCGCTGTTGCTGCTTTTATTGCTGTTCCTGATGTTGGTGGTGGTGATGCTGCTATTGGTGTTGGTGATGGTGCTGGTGCTGTTGCCGCTGTTGCTGCTGTTCCTGCTGTTGCTGCTGCTGCTACTGCTGATATTGGTGGTGGTGGTGCTGCTGCTTTTGCCGCTGCTGCTGCTGTTGGTGTTGGTGATGCTGCTGTTGCTGCTGTTGCTGCTGATGTGGGTGGTGGATGTGCTGTTGCTGCTGTTGCCGCTGTTCCTGCTGTTGCTGCTGCTGTTGCTGCTGTTGGTGGTGGTGATGCTGCTGTTGCTGCTGCAGGTGCTGTTGCTGTTGCCGCTGTTGCTGCTTTTCTGCTGTTGCTGTTGGTGGTAGTGATACAGCTATTGCTGTTGTTGTTGGTGGTGGTGGTGCTGCTGCTTTTGCTTCAGTTTCTGCTGTTGGTGGTGGTGATCCTGGTGTTGCTGATTTTGGTGGTTATGGTGATGCTGCTGCTGGTGCTGCTTTTATTGCTGTTCCTGCTGCTGCTGTTGCTGCTGTTGGTGTTGGTGATGCTGCTGTTGCTGCTGTTGCTGCTGATGTTGGTGGTGGATGTGCTGCTGGTGTTGTCACTGTTCCTGCTGTTGCTGATGCTGTTCCTGTTGTTGGTGAGTGGTGATGCTGCTGTTGCTGTTGCAGCTGCTGTTGCTGTTGCCGCTGTTGCTGCTTTTGCTGCTGTTGGTGGTATTGATACAGCTATTGCTGCTGATGTTGGTGGTGGTGCTGCTGCTGCTTTTGCCGCTGTTGCTGCTGTTGGTGTTGGTGACGCTGCTGTTGCTGCTGTTGCTACTGATGTTGGTGGTGGATGTGCTGCTGCAGTTGCTGTTGCCGCTGTTCCTGTTGTTGGTGGTGGTGATGCTGCTGTTCCTTCTGCTGATGTTAGTGGCGGTGGTGCTATTGCTGCTGTTGCCGCTGTTGCTGCTCTTGGTAGTGGTGATGCTGCTGTTGCTGACGCTGCTGTTGCTGACGCTGCTAATGCTTATGTTGGTGGCGGTGGTCCTGCTGCTGTTGCCGCTGTTGCTGCTTTTGGTGGTGGTGAGGCAGCTATTGCTGTTGTTGTTGGTGGTGGTGGTGGTGCTGCTGCTGCTGCTGTTGCTTTAGTTTGCGCTGTTGCTGCTGTTGCTGCTGTTGGTGGTGGTGATGCTGCTGTTGCCGCTCCTGCAGATATTGGTGGTGCTGGTGGTGGTGGTGATGGTTTTGCCGCTGTTGCTGCTGTTGGTGGTGGAGATGCTCCTGTTGCTGCTGCTGCTGCTGCTGATGTTGGTGTTGGTGGTGCTGCTGCCGCTGTTGCTGCTGTTCCTGCTGTTACTGCTGTTGCTGCTGTTGGTGGTGGTGCTGCTGTTGCCGCTGTTGCTGCCGTTGCTGCTGTTCCTGCTGTTGGTGGTGGTGATGCTGCTCTTGCTGCTACTGCTCATGTTGGTGGTGGTCGTGGTGCCGCTGCTGGTGCCGCTACTGATGTTGGTGGTGGTGGTGATGCTGCTTTTGCCGCTGTTGCTGCTGTTGGTGGTGGAAATGCTGCTGTTGCTGCTGCTGCTGCTGCTGCTGATGTTGGTGTTGGTGGTGCTGCTGCTGTTGCCGCTGTTGCTGCTTTTCCTGCTTTTCCTGCTGTTCCTGCTATTGGTGGTGACTGCTGTTGCTGCTTGGTCTGCTGATGTTGGTGGTAGCCTGGCGGTCCTGCTGCTGTTGCCGCTGTTGTTTCTGTTCCTGCTGTTGGTGGTGCTGTTGCTGCTGTTGCTGCTGTTGCTGCTGTTGCTGCTGTTGATGCTACTGATGTTGGTGGTGGTGCTGCTGCTGCTTTCGCTGCTGTTCCTGCTAATGATGGTGGTGATGCTGCTGTTGCTGCTGCTGCTACTGCTGATTTTGGTGGTGGTGGTGCTGCTGCTGTTGCCGCTTTTGCTGCTGTTGCTGCTGTTCCTCCATTTGGTGGTGACGATACTGCTGTTGCTGTTGCGGCTGATGTTGGTGGTGGTGGTGGTGGTGCTGCTGCTGTTGCTGCTGTTGGTGGTGGTGCTGCTGCTGCTGTTGCCGCAGTTGCTGCTGTTCCTGCTGTTAGTGGTGGTGATGCTGCTGTTGCTGGTGCTGCTGATGTCGGTGGTGTTGGTGCTGCTGCTGCTGTTGATGATGTTCCTGCTGGTGTTGGTGGTGATGCTGCTATTGCTGCTGGTATTGGTGGTGGTGGTGGCGGTGGTGCTGCTGCTGCTGTTGCTGCAGTTCCTGCTGTTCCTGCTGTTGGTGGTGGTGATGCTGTTATTGCTGCTGCTGCTGCTGATATTGGTGGTGGTGGTGGTGGTTGTGCTATTTCTGCTGTTGCTGCTGTTGCTGCTGTTCCTGCTGTTGCTGCTCCTGCTGATCTTGGTGGTGGTGCTGCTGCTGCTTTTGCCGCTGTTGCTGCTGTTGGTGTTGGTGACGGTGCTGTTGCTGCT